TGCCAGGCACTGTGCTCAACTCTGGAGAGATAAAGATGAATGTGGCAGGGTCACCATTGTGTAGGAAGGTGAACTGGAATGTAAATAAATCATTTTAATAAATATATAAATCTTCAAATGAAGGGAAGAGTGACTTTGTGGACAAGGTTGTCAGGAGCTCTGCCTGTCAGTGATTGGCTGAGTCCAACTTCTCCCCCACAGACCTCTTACAATGACTGGACAGCTTAGCATTTTAGTTACATAGCCATACTTACTAGAATTAATGCATTTATTTGAAGGAATTACTTGTTAAGTTAGTTTCCCCTTCTCTAAGAAGGACTTGGATCCTGCTTAGGGGAGAGGAATGGTTGTGAATGAACACCTGGTTCTTCGCTGGATGGAGATGAGCACTCAGTGGGAATCATGTGACATTCAAAAAGGATAGCAAGTGTCAGGGTTGGTTAGACTTAGAGGAAGCAAAGGCAGACTTCATTTTGTTTGACTCTCTATGTTTGTTTACAAGAATTAGACAAGACAGCTCTGTCTCCCACTCTTGGGAAAGTAGCCTTATGTAGAAGTAGTTTCTGTATAAGCTCTGTGTGCCATGTGTCTTGGAACCTGTGGCAGGTAGGCCAGAGCACCTGGATGGAACCCCCTCCTGCCCTATGAAATTCCCACTGTCTCCAGAGTGCTCCAGTATGCAGTCTTCCTCTGTTTGTTGTGGTACTGGATAGACCAGACCTCTGTGTCATGTAGTTTAGGGAAGCCTCTTGGTGCTGAGCATGAGCTCAAAGGGCTTGAGGCACTGGCCTTCTGGCTGGAGTGCTTTCCCCTGGAAACCAGGCGCATGTGGTGACACCCTGTTGTTTGTGCTTGCTCCCTCTTGCTCAAAGGCAAAAGACAACAGGTGCTGTAGCTTGGAAAGTGCTATGGTGGTCTAGCAGGTAGGCGGAGGCCCAGGATAGAGCTCCCATTTGCCTTAAGGAAGCAGAGGGGAACATAAATAATGGAGCTCACTGGCTTCTCCCAGGGAGAGTTCCCACAGCTCCTGCGGTTCCTCAGTTTCCCAGCCCTCTCCATTCAGACTCTTCTCTTGTTTGTTCTTCACAAGCTGTTCATTCAACCCTCTATGGTCTCTAAGGAGTAATTGACCTCCATATGTGTACATTTGAGCACGCTCATGGGAGGGGTAGAGTTCAGCATGCTGCTGTGCTACTGCCATCTTGGACCTCCCAAATGCCAATCATTTAATCATTTTCCAGAGAGCAAATCAATCTGCCATGTAATGATCTTGGTTACTTAAAGATTTCACTTTAATAAACATTTATACACCTGGAAGATCTCTCTCTCTCTCTCTCTCTCTCTCTCTCTCTCTCACACACACACACACACACACACACACACACACACACACACACACTCACACTCTTGCA